TGCATTGTACCTGTACAGTAAGGCTAAATGAGATTGCAGAGATAAAGAAGACATGAATAACTGGAGAAATGTCCATGGATTGGAAGGGTCAATATTGTTAAGAGATCACACTGTCCCGTATTACCCTGTAGAAAACCTATCGAATTATTATTCACAACCTGGTACTAAATGTGTCTAGAAATATATATGTAAATGCAAACTACCTAGATTAGCCAAAGCAGTTTTTTAAAGGGGAGTAAAGTTTGAGGATTTAACACTACATGATTTCAGGACTGACTATTAGGCAGCAATAATTTAGCATTTTTGGAGTAAGAATACACATTTTTTTAAAAAGCTTTTATTTTTAAGTAATCTCTATACCCAACGTGGGACTTGAACTTACAACCCGCAGATCAAGAGTTGCATGCTCTCCTGACTGAGCCAACCAGGTGCCTCAAGAATAGACATTTAGATCAGATGGAACAGAATAGAGTCCAAAAGTAATCCCAAACAAGGATGTGGAGTAACTGGATTTTGATAGACTGCTGGTGAGAATTTACAACTATTTTTGGCAGTTCCTTAAATGTATACCTACTTTATGAGTTAGGCATTCTACTCCTAGGTCAGAAGTGAAAATATATATTCATACAAAGATACGAATTTTCACAACAAATGTTTTCAAAATAACAAAAAAGTGGAAAAAAAATTTTCATCAACAGGTGAATAAGTAAAATATGCTATGTTTATTATAATTCTACTCAGCAATAAAAAGAATCAGTTACTGGTAAGACATAACAAAATGGATATATATATGTAATATCAAAATAGACTAAGTAAAACCACTGAAGCACAAGAGTACAAACTGATTTCATTTACATAAATTCATTTAAAAATGCAAACTAATAAATAGCAGATAAAAGCAGATCCCTGGTTTCTGGAAGGTGTTGTCAGAGGGAGGGATTTTACATAGAGAGGATGAGGAATCTTCACAAGGGCTCATGTAAATGAAAACCTTTCCATCTTGATTGTGGCAGTGATTAAAATGGATAAAGTTTACTATATATTAATGATAAAAGTTCATTAAAATTTTGGTTGACTTTCTTTGAATTTCTAAGTCATCTTACATTCTGTCCGCTGAATTTAACCTTTTAGATAGTCTTTTCATTCTACTCTTGCCTCCACCAGAGAAATCTTTTCTAAAGCACCCTGTCATACTTTTCTAATGTTGGCTTTTGCGTCTTCTCCATAACTCTGGTTCTGGCATTTTCCTTGTTGTCTTCCTGGGAAGTCCCTTTCTGCTTCTTTTCCTGGATCTCAAATGCTTCTTAATTCTCGTGGTTACTCTCTCATTTTGGTTACACATATCTACCAGATTTGAAAGGTAAATTTTTATTTATCGTCATGGTTTAGAATTGTCATACTGATTAAGTGCCTGGGTATAAAACCCTTAAATATCATTACTATACACTTTTTTCTTGGACTACTTAATTTTCTCATAGAAGAATCTTCGTGCAGGCGGAATGGGAGCGAAGGAACAAGTGAGGGTGCTGGCTCTCTGGGAGTCAAATAGGGGAAAGAAATGAATATGAATACTTCCTTAATATGAGTATTTCCATATCTGCTTTTTTTTTGTTTTTCCTTTCCCCACACCCACTGCTGTGTAGGACTGTCCTTACTTCTTAAATCTGTCTGATATCATCTCTCTGAGAGGTAAGGGTGGGGCCTCTAATATCGCACACTGGTAGAGCAGTAGGTGAGTAGTCACCAATGCTTGGGATTACAGGGATTCAGTTGCATCTTTTAATGACTCTTGATCAATTTTGTTTTCAGCTACACCCTTACCTTTACCTTTATGGCTACCTGATGCCTCCAGTTCCCTTGCTTTTCCATCATTGCATACAAATTGGCTTGATTTCTTTTTTCTTGTAGATGTTTAATTTTTAGCTTTCTCAAGCCTGCTAACTCAATTACCACATTCCACTTTTAAATCTTGTCAAGAGGTGTCTGGGTAGCTCAGCTGGTTAAGCGTTTGACTTTGACTCAGGTTATGATCTCATGGTTCTGGGATGGAGCCAGCGTCAGGCTCCCTGCTCATTGGGAGTCTGCTTGTCCCTCTCCCCCTCTCTCTGCCCCTCTTTCCACTTCTACACACGTGCTCTCTGTCTCTCATAAATAAATATAATAATAAATATTGTTGGAAATTTTTGTTTATTTTTCTCTGTGGATTTATGCCTCTTGTTCCTATAAGGTTATTTTGATTGATAGTGAAAGCTTTGGACTGAATGTGTCCTCCCAAAATTCATGTTAGGCTTTAATTTCTCATTGTGATAGTATTCAGAGGTGAGACCTTTGGGAGGTAATTGGGTTTAGATAAGATCATGAGAGTGAAGCCCACATGATGAAATTGGCACCCTTCTGAGGGGATGAGGAGACCAGAGAGCTCTCTCTCTTTTATATGAGGACACAGCTAGAAAGCAGCCATCTGCAAACCAGAAAGAGGGCCCTCACAAACACCCTACTATGCTGACACTAAGATCTGGACTTGTAGCCTCCAGAAGTGTGAGAAATTTCTGTTTAAGCTACCCAATGGTATTTTTGTTATAGAGGTCCAAAGAACTAAGACAAACCAAGACACTAGATATAAGTGCCATTTACCTTTTGATAAATTTTTTTGTCCCTAACAATGAATTTTGACAGGGTAAAGTATGAGGCCCACCTACATTTTCCTTTCTGTTGTTGGCTTTATTCTGTAGCATGCATTCTCAGTGGGGACACAACTTGGTTTTTGGGAGAGTAAAGTAATCTGACTTGTGTTCATTGCATTTGTGTTTGAATCAAGCAGTTATCTGTTACATGTTGGGAGGTGTTGTATGTGCATTGACACGTGTGAGCTTGGTTGTCTAGACTTCAGTATTCTCTGAAACACATCCTTTTAAGAAGTCTGTCATTTTCTTTGCCCTGTAGACTTAGCTTGCCTTGCTTTTACACATTTTGGGAACTCAAGGCTTCTGTGTTTACAAACTCTGTATCCCCTGACAATTGGTTCATCACTCTTTTATGCCACCAACCTGTCAGATTGTTGATAGTAGAACTCGCTACCTTTTTTTTTGGTACATTTTCTGTCAACCACCATCTCTGTATATAGGTATGGAGATACTGCATCTCATAGTAATGGGTGACATTCCATTGAAGTTTTCAAATTTTTAAATTCCAGCTTTCTCGACTGTCATTTTATTCTATCTCTGTGCAACTCTGTCTATCAAAAGCTTGAATTTTCCACATTTCTAAACTTTGAAACAAGGAGAAGAAATCATAAGTGGTATACTTGGTAGATTTAGAAATTTGGCAAATTTTACATACTGATTTTAGATTTTATTAAGTCACACGTGTCCAGAGGAAGCCTAGTGGTAGGTTTCTGTTTTCAGGAATATTTTAAATGTGGCACTGTACTCACTGGAAGATGGTGAGGAGGTTTTGAAGATGTCAAGGAGGAAAAAGTGTTTGCTGGAAAAACTAGTAAATTTTGAACTAATATGTATTTTATTTTCTAAAGCTTTAATGAGGTTATTAAACAACAATACAAACTGTAAAACATTTTCAGGAATGGTAGCTAGAAATATAATGAGAATGATTATGAAGTGAAAGTTTAAAAACTTCTGAGCTATTTATTTAGAGCAATAGACTGATCAGTTAAAATTATTTACTTGGTTGTTCTTTGCTCCCTCCAAGGAAACTCTTTTCAGTAGCTGGATTCCATTCTTAAGGCTTGAATATTTGGCATTTCATTAAATTTATAGTCATTGTTGATGAGTGTTTAAATGTTGTCTATTATGTGTTTCTATGTTCATAATTACTGAAGCAGGGTATGCATTCTTGTTTTTTCCTTTTTCTTCTTTCTGTTATATTTTATCCCCACCATAGTCCGAACTATGATGTCGAGCACATTGTGATTCAGAAAATGCTTAACTTATATCTTTAGCCAGTCAGAACTATGATTTGTTGTTTTAATCTTAAAAGAGAAACTGTTTTGTAATCAAAAGAACATTGTGAAGTTACAATGTTTTTGCTAAACAGATAGGAGATAAAAGATTGATGCTGTTAAAAGGAGGAAAGAATAAAGAATAAATCTTGGAAATGCAATATGTAGAATCAGTTCATCAAATAAGTTTATTATTACTTTGACCAGAAGACTTTCTCCCCTCTAAGAATAAGATTATTCACAGGAGAAGAAATTGATTGACTCTCTATGCTCTGTCTGGTAGAAGAAGAGGTGGTATATGTGATGTGATCCTGTCATATTTGAATTCATTTACTTAGCAAAAATCAAGGATATAAAATAATCATTTTATATATTCTTACGAAGAATGTAAAAGACAACCAATTAATTGATATTTTCACTAGATGTTTACTTTTTGATGCAGGCGGTTTCTTCTATCTAACGTAGGTCTAATGTAATGTTTATTTTATTTTTGCTTTTCACTGGAAGCTCTCCTGGCTGTTATTATCAAAGACATTTAAAAAGTTAGAAGTTAATTTGAGATACTTTGAAGGAAATGTTAACATTATTTTGTGATAGAATGTAAAAATATTTTGTTTATCACATTTAATGAAATACAACTATTCATGATGAGAATTTACTTTTGAATAATGGAGGCAGGAAAAAAAGTAGTAAACACCTTCCCTAAAACTTATTTTGGTGGGTTTTTTTGTGCTTATGGTGACGTTCCCACTGGTTAAGCTAACTCAAAGCATTTGATGAAAATGTTAGCTCTGTTTTTTTAAATAAATTTATGTATCAACTCATTTGTAGGAATAGTTGGGTGAAACTTAGTTTTTGGAGCTCTTGTTGTGCTCTTTATCTGAGACATCTTCAAAAAAGTTATTTGAGTGGAAAAATATAAAAAAAATAACAGGAGTCTCCCACCAGCCAGAATGGATATGTTCATGTTTTTGCTCTTGGGTATAACACTTCTAAGAATATAATTAGCTTTGCTTTTCATTTTCTACTTTTTTCTCCACAGCCTCATGATTTTGATGAGTGCCGATTTGATATTAGTGTAAATGATAGCGTTTGGTATCTTCGTGCTCAGGATCCAGATCACAGACAGCAGTGGATAGATGCCATCGAACAGCACAAGGTAGGGGTTCCAGTGTCTACCTGTCCATGGAGGGTTAGGCAAGAGATTGACAGTAACTCCTTTAAAAAGTTTTGAGATGTAGGGGCGCCTGGGAGGCTCAGTCCTTAAGCATCTGCCTTCGGCTCAGGTCATGATCCCAGGGTCCTGGGATCGAGCCCCACAGCGGGCTCCTTGCTCAGTGGGAAGCCTGCTTCTCCCTCTCCCACTCCCTCTGCTTGTGTTCCTGCTCTTGCTCTCTCTCTCTCTCTCAAATAAATAAATAAATTCTTTTAAAAAAAAAGGTTTTGAGATGTAATATGTGTTATTAAAAAGCTGAACATTGGGGCGCCTGGGTGGCTCAGTCGGTTAAGTGTCTGCCTTCGGCTCAGATCATGATCCCACGGTCCTGGGATCGAGTCCTGTATCGGGCTCCTTGCTCAGTGGGGAGCCTGCTTCTCCCTTTCCCTCTGCCTTGCTGCTCTATTGTGCTCTGTCTCTCTTTCTCAGATAAATAAATAAAATCTTTAAAAAAAAAAAAAAGTTGAACATTATTTGGGTGGTAAAGATTAAAGCAGTCCAGATATAAATTTTTGAAATAATTTTTTTCTAACACTTCAGTTGCTCTAAGGGAGTTTGTTATGACAAATATTTTTAATTGTTTTTTTTTTTTTAAGATCTAATTGGCTTTATTAAACGATTCATGAGTTGGGCGGCACTCCATCTAGCAAGTTGAGAGGCACACCAACAAATGTTCTTCATTGTTAATTAAAACAAAATATACCCTTTTTTTAATAAAACAAATCTTGATTTTTATACTTAGGATTTGCTTCATAGTGAATGCCTTTTGTATGATCTGGATAAAAGGTTTTGAAATAATATTGGATGTATAACCCTAATATTTAGAAGCTTCAGTGTTAATTTTTGTAATTATGCATGCATTGTTATATTAATAATTCAAAATTAATACCAAATTGTTAAAGCATGATGATAGCCATTTGGGTAATTTCATAGTGTAAACATTTGTAAATCATTTAATTTTTTCAAATAGGGAGCTGTTTAATAATAAACCTTTAGCAAGTATTTCCTTTGTAAATGTATAAGCCACATTCTTGTTATTTAACGTGTGAATAAGGGGCATCTGGGTGTCTCAGTCAGTTAAGCGTCTGCCTTCCGCTCAGGTCATGATCTCAACTCAAGTCCTGGGATGGAGCCCTGTATGGGCTCCTTCCCTGATCAGCGAGGAGTCTGCTTCTCCCTTTCCCTCTGTCCCCCTCCCCTGTGCTCTCTCTTTCTCTCTCTCTCTGCCTCTCCCAAAAGAATAAATAAAATGTTTAACAAAAAAAGTGAATAAGTGCTATGTAGACTAAAGAAACGTGTGATATCAAATCTGCATTATTAGCTATTTTAGTTTATTATGATAAAATAAGGAATAGGGAAAGGTGTAAATTCATGATGCCATTCCTGAGTGTGACTTAAAAGAACTTTGTACTTATTCATATGCTTGTCTGTACTTGTTTGTTTGGGTTTCACAGAGTTGTAGTTGAAACACCTGTTTTGGTCATTTAACAGGTGCAAAACATGTACCCACACAACACACACACTAAAACAAGAAAAACCTGTCTTGTTTGAGGTATCACAGGTATATTCATTTTGATACTGATCATGCATTAGCTTTTATTTCTTGATTATTGATTATGAATTTTTCCTGGCATAAAGAAAACTGGCTGTGATGCCCATTTTTTCCCCTCTGTTTTAGCTTTAATATTATACTGATTTAAAATTCTGTTAATGTTGGGGCACCTGGCTGGCTCGGTCACAAGAACATGGGACTCTGGATTTCAAGGTTGTGCGTTCAAGCCCCATGTTGGGTGTAGAAATTACTTAAAATAAGATCTTAAAAATTTGTGAATGTTAGTTATCTTTATTACTTCAGAAAAGAGTCTAAAAATGGGAAGCAGTTTTCTTTTATGTAAAAGAGATGAGCTTGAATTCCAGATTCTGAATGCTTTGGGTCTAGGCTGACCTTAATTCAGACACTACATCCTCTGCTGCGTACCGTATGCGACTTTGGGTGTATGGTAATTTACCTCTTCTTGGTGTGTATAAGGAATACATGAGGTAATAGATGTAAGGTTACTTACCAGAGTGGCTGATATATTTTCTCATTTATGACAGTAGAAAAAGAAAGGGCTTTGGAGTGACAATTAAATTTACTAAATTATACCTGTTGTTTTGGGATGAAGAATTCTGCATTCAGTGAGAGTTACTAATGTGCACATAAAGAGACAGTATTGTGTATTTAATCAGGGCCAGCCCTCTTACTAATGATTAAAGATGTTATTAAGTAGAACTAATTTTTATATTTTTAACTTATGACTTAAAGGCTTAATCAGCTAATATAGATTACAGGGCTGGTTTTTCTGTTTTAATTAAGCATATTTTATTTTGCTTGTTTTGCTTAGTAAAAAGCCAAACCAGAATTCTCTGCAAGTTCCCATTTTGTATTTTCTCCTTGAGTGAAGGATGCATAAAGCATGTTATTTCTTCCCTATCATTGATTTCTTTGCATCTTTGAACAATGGATAGGTATAATCTTTGGGTCTCAGGGGCATCTGGGTGGGTTAGTCAGTTAAGCAGCTGACTTTTGGTTTTGGCTTAGGTCATGATCTCAGGGTCCTGGGATCAAGCCCCATTCAGTGGGAAGTCTGCTTGAGAATTTTCTCTCTCCCTCTCCCCCCATGCACATGCGCACTCCCTCCCTCTCTCTCTCAGATAAATAAATCTTTAAAAAAAATAATAATAGTAATAATCTTTGGGTCCAGAGCAGTGTGACTTAAACTGAGATAACAGATTTTGGGTAAATTTAAGTTCTTAGAAAAAGGTTCCAAAAAAAAAAAAAAAGATTCAACAGCAGGATTTCAGATACATCATACAGACTTTTCCTTTCTGATTTCTACAAATAGTTGATTAATAGACAGTGAAGGAGATATGTTAATTGTTATTAATAGTTATTTAATTGTAATATAAATTATGTGATATGTGCCAACTAAGCAACATATCAGTGAATATTTAAATTGAATATGAATTCCAAAAGTAAATTGCCTGAGTTACTAAACTAATTCTTAGGAGGGAGAAAATTCAAATGCAATCACTATACATATTCAACAAAGTTTTTTTTCCCATAGACCAGGAAGGGAGGTAGTGTAGTGAGGAAATGTTTCCTAATTCATTCTTCAGTATCACTAAAGAATATTGAATGTGGAACCTAAATTTAGTAATTTTACTATTATGCATGCATTGTTATATTGGTAATTCAAAATTAATACCAAATTGTTAAAGCATGATGATGATGATTATGATGATAACGACGACGATAAGAGCTCCTACTTATCACCCAAGTACTAATCATTGCATTATGTACTTCATGTGTTTATTTTCTCCCTACTCTCCTGAAAGGTGAGGGAAGTGCTGTTTTATAGTTTTATAGTAGAGGAAACGAAGTTTAGATTAAATTTAAGTAACTTGCCTGAGATTCTACTACCTTTTAGTTCATGGATTCTTTGGATTCAATTTTATGTTGATTCTGCTTTCTATCAGTTCCACTGGGAGATTCTGAATATTTGGAGGGGCAGCTTGGTGGTTCATTCAGTTAAGCATCCAACTCTTTATTTCAACTCAGGTCTTGATCTCAGGATCGTGAGTTCAAGCCCTGCGTTGGGCTCCAAGCTGGATGTGGAGCCTACTTAACAAAAAAAAAAAAAGACAAGTGAATATTTGGAAATAGTTCCCATAAGCTTACCTCCTTTAGATTGTATCATTTGAGTTCTGCCATATATGTGAAAGACAAATAGGAACTCATCTTTCTGCCCATGGACTGTCAAAAAGGACATTATATTGTTTTGGTTAGTGTTGGAGTGGTGGATTCTGAGGTCTGATAAATATGGGAATGAATCCTGGCACTACTGCTTATACTTCTTAATAGCTGGATGACCTTGTTCAGTCACTTAGAGGAGGAAAGATGACAGTATGCTGTTTGGTGCCTTCCCCCTCACACCACCCTCACTACCCCCACAAAAACAGAAAAACAAAGCAAGCAAAGTAACTCAACCAAATTTGTTGTACTTCAAAGTTGATGAGTTCCCGTCCTTCCAGCTCATACAGTTCTATTTACACTTACTTCCTCATTACACCACCTGCCCTTACAGTGACACAAGACACTTGGAACAGTGGGCCTTTTTCTCTTCTGATGTCGTCAGGTGGGCCTTCATTCCTTTTCTTGTTCTTAAGCCTTTGTTAGGGCTTCCCTGACAGGTTTTAGTAATTTTTAGTATCTGGAAGAAGTTGGAGGTTTCTGCTCTTTCCCTCCCAGGTGGCCCTTTTACTCATTCTAATAACTGTGTATCAATCTGTTTAACACACACTCGTATACACCGAAAGTTCTATCTTACACGACTTCTTTAATAATAATAATGTGGTGGTGGTGGTGATAATGGCTAACATTTTTGAGGATTAATGTACGTCAGATATGGTGATAAACATACTTTATCTCCATTTACTCTCACAGTCTTATAAGGTTAACATTATTATCCTATTTTTATAGATGAAGAAATTGAGACAGAAGTTAAGTAATTTGTCCAAGGTCAAATTGCTAATTAGTTAAAGGAGCCAGCATTCAGACCTAGGTCTGTCTGACCTGAGAACCAGAGCTTTTGGCCAACAAGCACTTCTGCCATCCTATAAGTATGTATTTATGTGAAATAGATTTTGTTGACTTAAACCGTCAGACTTCTTGAATCACAATATTCCCATAGTTTTTATAGTTCTTCGTATCTCTAGTGTTTATTTTAGACCATAAGCTCCTTAAAGACTCAGATACACAACTTTGTAGGAATCAGCAAAGCATTAGACACATAAATTTTCCAGTTGAAATAATTTACAGTATTTTGTAAAACAGATTTTATGGAAGAAATTTATGATATTTGAAGTTTTTGTTTTTCCTTTAATCTTCATGTTTGCTGTTA